ACATTAGTGTGAGTGAGAGTTATAAAGTATTAACTGGAAATTATAAACTGTAATTTTTAAATAAAGCATTTATTTTAGTATTTATATATCTAAAATATTAAATAACTCATAGAAAAGTATTTTATTAGTTTCTATTAGTTAAGTTTGTGAATATTTTTAAAACTTATTTTCCATTCAAAATCAATATAGAAAAGTCTAGAAAATACACATTTACAGGTGACTGTGAATAAGTAAAAATAGTAATGATGTTTGTGTTTGTAAAGCGCTTTATTTACTGATAATCTGTATGAAATAAATAAAATATGTTCTAAAACTTTTTATTAAAAAAATATTTTTGAGGTCTCTGATATACTATATACTGTACAATATGTTAAGCTGAATAAAATAACAAGTAAATGAGAGAAGTATGTAATTTAAGAATAATCTGTTTGTATGTTAACTTTAATGTTAACATAACTGTTAAAGTTAACAAACTGTTGTGTTATTGATGCAAATATTAACTTAATTATTGCTATAAATGTGTTAAATATTGAGTTTGAGATTCTAGTGATCGGAAGAGAAGGTAATGAATAAAGTGTTTATACAGTACTTTATAGACTAATGAGCATTTATTTTACATTAAGATAACTAAGGCACTGTATAATAATATTATAATTAATATATTTTCTACTGTACTGTATATTCCAAACTAATTTTAATAAAATTAAATCTTTATTTATTTGAATTATCACTCAAGTACTACACTTTAATCATTATTTAATACGATTTCCCAAAGAATTTTTAATAAAACATAGAAAACCGCTTTCTACAGTATATGGTAATATAATATTATGAATTAAATTGATACTATTCTACAGTAGTATTATTCAACTTATAATTGTTGTAATATTTAATGGAAAGTTTTAAAAATAATTATAGCCGTATTATTAAATTCATAAATACTATGAACATCCTTGATAATAATATTAACTATACGGTAAAAACAATATAATATATCGGGGGTTATTAATTGACTGTTCCAGTTAAGATTTTGATGATTTTGTCAATTAGGATTATAAATTATAGTGGTTAAATTAGTTTCGGGTGGTTAAATGGTCACAATTGTCTCAGTGGCCACTGTTACGGACGCCCGAACATTGGCCACAAAGTACCGCACCATGGCTTATGCGATGGCCAATTGACCCGGTTCAAAATATTTTTACATTTAAATCAACTCAATTGAATATTTGTATGCTCTCCCGATACAATTGAATTGAAATCTGACCAGATTTTGGTTATTTGCCGATATGCGTCAATACTTGTGTCACTCTTTTCAAACACTGCTTTTATACTTTTGGTCACTGCCGCCAAACGGGTAAAGTTATAATGATCATATTTTATCGGGGTCATTTTGTGTGATGAGACCTCGTGGGCTGACCACTTATTTAAAATTATATTTGATCCCCCGATTGATTTAATCATGAAATATGCTTGCGTCAATAATAGTGCCGTGCCGTGTATATAACTATAGTATCCATATATTTTAATATTTAATAATAAGTTACCCGTACTGGCTAAAGAATCGTGAATGAAATATTTGTCATTGCTGCAAATGAGCAAATTTATAAAGATGCCATGTTTTTTGCAATTATGACTCAATGACATTGCTCAGATAAGTAAGACAGACACAAACCTCTTGACAAAAATGCAGAGATGGAGTGCCCCGTGAGTGGTGGAGTGGATGAGTACATGTGAGGGACCGATTGTCTTTTGCAAATCAAACTCCCATTCCTTGATTAGGTTGCCCTGAGGTGCCTCCTGGATGCCAAAGGCCAGTATGTCGGGCACATACACCATACTATCAGGTAAAGCAATGGGGTTAAGATCTTGGGGCGGGCTATTGCTGTTCATATTCCACGTTACGATATATACACTGATCTTCTCTTCAGGAAAATAATGGCTCAACTCATCCGACCGTAAGAGAGAGCCCTATAAATATATAAATCACAAAACGTAATTAAGCTATACATTCATTGTTTTATTAAAATATACATTCAAATTTTAAATACCGGTAGTATAATATATTAAATAATAGAATATATAACACTATAAAATCATTATAATGTTCATAGTGTTAGGTTGTTCATTAATAATGAATCATTATAAATAAATGCATTAAATAAACACTTAAATCATGAAAACTTTTTTATTATAAATAATATGCTAAATCTATCATATAAAATAAAAATATTATAAGCATTCATTTAAATTATTATATATTAGTATAATTAAAACAATTTTCACAGTACATTATTTAAAGGTATTTGTAAAATAACTATAAAAACTATTTGGCAAAATTTACATAATATTATATTATGTCACTAACTGTGCTAATAATAAAGAAAATTATATTATATTTAAAGGAATGTTTAAATTATTCAATTTACTAAAATAATAGCAGCAATTATGGAATTTATCAATTTTGGGCTTATATCACAATTATTAATTATAAATATAATAAAGTATCTTATTAAATGTTTGTTGTTGTGAAATGTTTACTATACTTATACTGTACAGTATAATACTAATGCTGTCAGATAACTCATTTTGAGAGAATTGATAAGCAATTATATAAACCATAAAAATTATGACATAATTTTGAGTATCACTGATTAGGTCGGGGACTCACGTGATAGCCATTCGGCAGATTCCTTGCCCGCGCTTCAGACGCCAACACAGGCTTATAGTACGGGAATACCGATGAACTCAATGTGTCGATTGAGGCATCGATTGTGCTGTCGGTGCTGACCGAGTAGTCGTCTACTAGATTCTCGTTCTCCATTGTATCCATAGTTTGTATTTCATAATACCATTGTTATTATATTTATAAATTCACAACACTAATCAAGTATCAACCAAATCTAATAATTAGATAATCTATTTCTAAATTAAGTTAAATTATTTATTTTGTTCGTTTCAATGACTATTTATACATTATATTCTTTACTATTTACATTATATAATATAAAATTTTCTAAACACAACAAACCATAATAAAATTCATAACATATCATGAATGGAGCTTTTATTGAGACGACGCAACTCTCTCTCTCTCTCTCTCTCTCTCTCTCTCTCTCTCTTGTTATCCTTTAGTTGTTAGTTTATTTTTATTAATGATGCCAAATTCTAGAGAGATATTATTACTTTTATTATACTTTACATACTGTATAACTTTTATTTGTTTACAGAATTTGTATAGAATCAACTGTATTGATATTAGTAAGCAGTATACAGTGTATTCAATACTGTAATGTATGGTATACTACTGTATTCTGAACACAATAATTAAAGTAACGTAAAAAATATACAAACACTTGTGATATCTATTTGAAGTAAAATTTGAATTTGAATCCAAATGATGAGTTTCATTGATTGGACAAATAAGATGTATTTATGTATAATTGAATGCTTAATTTATTTTTAAAAATCAACTTATATTGATACCTTACATTCATATGACACTATGAATGAATTACAAGAGTTCTCGACAGAAACAGTATCGCCTCATTTTAGCGCTGTTGATACATAGGGATTGATCGCCGTATTTATTAATTCTGGACACCTCTCCGATGATTTTCATGTCATTACTTCTGACATTCAAATTGACGGTGGCCTCCAATAATGCATGGCTTGGTGCAACAGAAATTGTAATCAAAAAATTTCTGAGTTCTTCCTTAGATTTGATGGGATCGTAGATTACATGTCTGCCTATGAGGTCATGTCTACTGTCTTGCATTCCTTGAAATCTCAAGAGTTTGTCACTCAAGTGCTGTTCAAATGCTGAGACAGTGGTATCTAAGGTGAGTTGAGCGCACTGTTCGCTATATTTGTGGGATAATAATTGGTTGACACTTTTGACAATAAATTGAGCCATGGGCTGAACTGATGCTAAATCAGTAATTGGTTCACTGGTCTGACAGGAGCACCAGTGCTCTAAAATTGGTATATCATGACAACCTCTTTGTTCGGGAATTTCTTCTAATATAGACTTTCCATACTTGAGATTATAGTCGGGTTTACCTTTAATGATATGTCTGAGTGTGGCGTGAATATCAAAAGGTGTGGTCAATCTGTTCTCATTTATGGACACATTTGTATTTCGCAGACCCTTTGGTATATATAAGTGCATAAAAGGCATCCTTTCCTCCAGTTTGCCCGACAAAGTCTCTCGCATGCGTCCGAACCGTATTCCGTGATCCGAGAAAAATACCAAAACTGTATTTTCCAACAAATTCTCGTCAAATAATTGACTCAATAGTTGTTCGGTCATTGGGTCGACGAGACCCGCGTTGTTTAGGTCATCGTGTGTAATACGAGCCATAAAAGTAAAGGCAAAATATTTTTGTTTCCTAATATGCATGGCTTTTATGAAATCATAGATATAATCAAAATAAACCTAAAAATGAGAATTTCACTCAAAATAATGGAATAAATAAAATAACATAAGTGAGAGTACAGTACTTTATATAAATACTCTGTATGAATGGTACTATATGCAAGACTGAGTAAACTAAAAAATACCTGTGTTTCTGGTTTATCCTGGTAGCAAAAGTATTTCATGTCATGCTCTGCGGCACAACTAAATGGCCTTAAATAGTAATCTGTCGGTTGGTCTGAGAATCCAATCTTAAACATATTGAAAGCACCCATATCTGGTGCGTCCTCGATGAGCAGGGTCTTAAATCCTTTGCTTTTATATTCCTTTTAAATTATTGAAATTATTTATATTTAGTTTGATCTGCCACTTAATTATACACTCTGTAAATGGTATATACTTTCCAAATAAATGGAAAATAATTGAGATAAACCCAATTTTGCATTGACTCGTCCCAAATATCCTCTAAATAATAGCCGGTTAATAATGGCGTTAAATTGGGAAACGTATTGTCGGCCACTTTGTTATAACCGTAGAGTGTGTTGAAGTTGTGTTTTATTAATTGTTGAGTTGTTAGTGGGAAATGTCGCTCAAAATTAACTCGAGATATTGAATCGATGCCAATAAATAATATATTTGGCAATTCATCTAAAGGTGGCGATTGTTTGTCCACCAAAACAGAGTCTTTCCATTGAAGCTCTTGTATAAGCGATGGAGGCTTTCGTATGATTTTATCAAAATATTCTTTCAGACCTAAATTCATTCATATATTATACTGTATAACAAATTATTGAAATTAATATAAATTTAGACTTATGTGAAAAATAAATTGTATTCAATAAATATAACATGTAAAAGTACAGTATATGTCTAATTAGTTGAAGAAATTATTATATTTATATAATTTGTTATATTGAATACTTGATTTTTGTGGTTTGGGTACAATCTCAGGGATGAGAGCGACGATTTTATCAAATTGTTTATCTGTTTATGAAATGTAGACAATAATATATATTAATATATTATAAATTTGATGCAATGATCAAGTGTCCTGTTTATCGGTCTATAGATCGCTTTAATTGTTTACAACAAATTAATAATGAACATATAATGAACATATAATGAACACCTGGTTTTTGTTAGACTTGGAATCTAACGGTAATATTCAAATTATTAAAATGATATTAAAATAATATTTATGTAAAGACATGTCATTTTATTTCACTTTGTTTCAGATAATACGCGGATAATACTGTAGGTCGATAATCAAAGTAGACCTGTGTTGAGTGCATACATACCTGTGCCAACATTGCATGTGATCTTGACATCACTGGTGTCTATGAAGTAGTGAACAGAATCGACATGAATGGGTACAGGTGCCATATAGTCAACTGTAGTGTCATCATAAGTACGTCTCTTAATACTATTGGCAAAGCACTGGACGGGTGTGTGAGGGGATAGGTTGTGAATGATAACCCCAGTCATATTGAATCTGTCGATTGAGATCCAGTTCTGCATTTCTGTGGGACAGTTGAGTCGATAAGCCGTATAATTGATATATAAAGGCATGACTTGTTCATCGAAAAGAGGCCAACGAATGATTTGACACTTTGTTGTGTTCACCAGATATGCATTGTTTGACTCGTGACCACTACTTCCCTTCAATAACAAACCTATTCTCAATCATTCAATTTGATTATAAATACAATATTTTCTAATATAATCCTGTAGTATAATATTAGTACTGTATGATCTTACTTTGATGAAGAAGTGGTATTAAACGAGCTTGGTTATAACTGTTTGATGGATGAAATTCTGGTGTGATATGAACATAAATCAATACTATGACTACCACCGCATTAATCAGTATAACCCCTATTAATGTCTTAAATATTGACCGGATTTTCATTATTTTGTTTAAAATTTAATAATATTACAAAGCATAAGTAGTATTTAATATATAAATATTATGTTTATTAAAACATTGAAAATTTTAGAATATAAAAATATAACTTAAAATATGTTAATTTCTAAAAACAAATAAAATATTTTAAGAATATAATTTATAACTATGTCTAAATTTTATAAATCATATTCAAAATATTAGCACATTTTTGGAAAAACAATTATAATTTATAAACAATGGAGTGATTGTTATGACAATTATCTTATTATTTTTGCTGTACTGTATATTAGATTTGTTTATATTATATCAAATAAGTGAACATTAATTAATTAAAATATTAATATTGTTATAAATTCATAAGGTATTATAAATATAATTTTAACATATCCATATCTCATCAAGTATTAGTTATTACCAGTTAAACTGTCATTACGGTAAGTGTTTAAATTGAATGTTTAACATTTTTAAGACTGTGTGTCATATAACAGTAATACTGTACAAGTTATACAGTACAGTAATATTTTGACTTTTTTTTACAGTTTTATAACTTACCTGTAATTCCTAACAAATCGCAAACAATTAGATTAGAGTCAGTACAGAGAAAGGTATCAAAATTTATTTTTTATAAATTGTCTCAAAATAGTATGGCATTATAAAGAAATGCTTAAATATTTAAAATTCAGTGCATTAGAAAAGCGCCAAGAACTACAGATTTTGAAAATTGAATTCAAAATAATCTTTAAATTATATGAATATGAAGACAAATATAATTCTGATATTGTTATGTATAAAACCATATAAATGGTGTATTTTGTAAATTAAATTTACATTAATGTATATGTGATGAAAGCTTTTTATTTATTCTTCACATTTGTATAATAGTTTTAAAAATGGTTTTATGTTACAATTTAATTTACAAAAACTAATTTATTAATTATATAAAATATATATTATAAATTATAACTAACAAATTAACATCATAATTATTAAAAGTAAGTTAATGATAAAATTAAATGTAATTAACATTAGATATTATAAATGAAGTAATTGTTTGCAGAAGCAATACCTTCTGGCAAATTGATTGTTAATACAAACGGATTGATTGCCGTATTTATTAATTCTGGACACTTCGCCCACAACTGCCATATGATGTGTCTCTGAGTTCATATTAACTGTCGCCTCAAACAATGCATTTGAGGGTTTGACGGCAATTGTGACCAAAAAATTCTTAGACTTTTCCTCAATCTTATCCTTTCTATAGACAACATGTCTTCCGATCACATCATTCAAGCTCTGCTCAAACTGTAAGACTTTTTCGCTTAAGTGCTGTTCAAAAGCACTGACAGTCCTGTCGAGAGTGAGTTCAACGCATTGTTCGCTAAAATCTTTGGCCAATAATTGGTTAATACTTTTGACGATAAATTGAGCGATAGGTTGGACACGATTGAGATCTTTGATGGGTTCACTGGACTGACAGGAGCACCAGTGCTCTAAAATGGGAATACTTTCACAACCCCTGTCTTCTGGTATTTCCTCTAACAATGACTTTCCGTAATTAAGATTCAAATCTTGTTTACCACTAATTATATGCTTAAGAGTTGCGTGAATGTCAAACGGTGTGGTCAGTCGGTTCTCATTGATCTTAAGGTTTTTGTCACGCATTTTGTTGGGCACCCATAAGTGCATGAAAGGCATCCTCTCCTCTAGTTTTCCCGACAAAGTCTCTCTAATCTTTCCGAACCTTATTCCGTGGTCTGAGAAGAATACAAGGACTGTATTCGACATTAAATTCTCATCAAATAATTTGTTCAACAGATTGTAAACCATGGGATCCACAAAACCTGCGCTATTTATGTCGTTGTGTGTGAGTCGAGCCATAAAAGTAAAGGCAAAATATTGTTGTTTCCTTATATTCATTGCTTTTATGAAGTCATAGATATAGTTGTAATATACCTACAGTATGTTCATAAAATGTGTTTACAATTAATACAAAGTAATGAATATTAAATAGTGGAATAAACATTAGATAAATTAAATAAATAAAAACTCAATAAGGTACGCTACAACATTTTTCTATAAATTAAAAAAACATTATTTTGAATCTATCTATCGATTAATAATAACAATAATAAACAAACTCAATGATTTCTAATTTTTAAAATGAGAGAGAGAGAGAGAGAGAGATGAAAAATAATTGGAAATGATGTAAATAAAGACCTCGATCTCCGGCTTATCTTGATAGCAATCATTGTGGACATCTTTCTCGATGGCCAGACTAAATGGTCGTAAGTAGTAGTCAGTGGGCGGTTCATTGAATCCAATTTTGAGATAATTGAACGTGGCTATATCAGGCGCATCCTCCATCAACAGTGTATTATATCCTCTATTACTGTAATCCTAAACATATTGAAAAGAATAATTAAAATATGAAATATTTAATTACTTTGAGCTTCAAATTACTTTCCAAATGAAAGGAAAATAGTTAAGGAAAACCGTTTTACTGATGGTTTCATTCCAGATGTCTTCCAAGTAATATCCGGTGAGAAGTGGTGTTAAATTGACGAAAGTATTGTCGGCCACTTTGTTATAGCCATACATCGTATAAAATTCATGTTTCAGTAATAATTGTGCCGTTTTAGGGAAATGTCGGTCAAAGTTAACTCGAGATATAGAATCTAAACCAATAAACAGTATGTTTGGTATATCACTGTCTTTGGTTGGATTTGCCTTAACATCTGGTATAAGTGGTATAACCTTTTCGTAACCCTTTTGACCTGTATATTTGTATTTGTTTCAATTATTTATAATCATATATTTATTATACGTAAGGATCTAGCAAATTTAAATTAAATAAATCAGAGTATTTAAATTATATACAATAAGAATTTGAAAACTAAGTTATTTAAATTAATGACCTTTAATAATAATAATAACATTTGAAAATAGTGGTTTATAAATTCAACCTTTTTTAAATTGTGTTTTAAATTAGCTTAAACTATGATAGAATCAATACAATTTTATGAAATTTGTAATATTACTAAATTTGAATTATTATACTAACGATGGAGTGTATTCAAGTCTTTTTTATTTGTATTTAAATAAATATACTAATTTATAAAATAGTATAAAGGATAAAAATAGTATTATTTTTGAGTATTCTAACATCAGATAAAGTCTTGGTAATAGTATTATAAATAGTCAAAATATAGTATAATTACTGTATGTTTTGTTCAACTGTTATAACTTATAAGATAAAATGGTTTCAAACCTTTTTCAATAAAACAAGTGACTTTAACTGCACTGACATTTGATGGGAAGTACTGAATAGTTTTGATATCAAACTGAACGGACGGAGAGAAGTGAATGTGACTATCAGTTGCACTCTTCCTATGGACTACACTATAAAAGCAGTCAATCTTTTTGTCCGAATGATTGTCCACTCGAATGCCCGTAAAGTTAAATCTTTCGATTGAAATTTTGTGTTGTTTTGAACGCTTGCAGTCTATGCTATCATTGGTTCTGTTCCTATAAATGGGTAAAATTTGCTCATCAAATGGTGGCCACCGAACGATCTGACACTTTCCGGTGTTCACCAAATATGCCGTATTCTTCACAACACCAACTGTTGTCTCTTTGCCTGACAATTATTTAAATATTACTAAATTTCAATATATTAAACCTAATTTTGAGATTAGGGTAGGCAATAATAAAATTCGTAGTAAAATAAAGTACAATTCATACTTATGACATACTCTACAATGTGATATGAAACATTATTCGATTAATTTTAAAAGATTTTTGAGTCTATAGTTTTAACATATCTTTACGCAATAGTAGATTCAAAAGTAGTATATTGTATAAGTACTGTATAATGAATAACATAAATTTAATATAAAAATTCACATAAATTTGGTTTTCAAGAAAATTTTAGATTCTATATAAAGCATATCATATACATTACTTTACAATTTTTGAAAATAAAATTTATATTAAATTAATGTTTAATATATTTAAAAATATGTTTTCAATAAATTAGTTAAAAGAAAATATTCTTTTGCTTCTCTCAGAGGAAAGCACCTGAAGATTGAGTGAGTGTTGAATATTTGAAAACAGTCGACATTCGCTATACGGTATACCCATTCCTACTGTACTTACCCTTTACAATTAATATATAAATTATAAATATATATAGCATTTGCTTTTAAGTGATTGCATAAAATGAATCATAATCATCTATACTATAGTAAAGTATAATTTAGGAGCAAATGCAAACACATTAACATGGGAAAATGTTTTTAAAGCATATTTACTAAAATGTATAGTATTTTATTTGTAAGATGTCGTCAAGAATTTATAAACAAAAGTCAAAACATTTTTTAATATTTAAAAGATGAGATTTAAAGATTGTGATGCGCTATACGGTATGTCCGCCCACTTTATATACGCTAATAGTGAGTGTTTGGTATATCAAATATATGTTGGATTCAACGACTGGTCAGCTTAGATATCGGCTCAATATGAATGGGAATGTCATGTTTGGCACAATTATATTCAGTTTATTGGTTGTAATCAATTCAATCTATTGTTCTTCAGTCGACACCAAACTAATGCCATCAAAGACTGTCTGCAAATATTTGCGGGATGGCGTACACAAAACAGGCGGTATTCATACTTTTCATATTTTCCTAACTTACTTTATACAATACTTATACAGACTATAGCTTATAAGAATGGTCATATTTTAATTATAGTTTATAATACTTAAAGTATACTGTTAAATTAGGTTTGCTTTTAATTAAAATAAAGTTTATCTTGACAGACAATTATTTCTATATTTTATAATATTAATAAAATGCAGTCTTAATTAAATGATTAATGAAAGACAATAAAATAGTGGTAATCCTGAACTGGCTGATATTGATATGAATCATATGACCTATTGATGTGACCTTATCTCAAATGACAGGAATCGAGAACTTTGTAGCGGCCGCTGGAGTGGCATTCGAGTCGACGGCTAAACTATATAAGGCCTGTCTTATCAATGATGAGGGCTTTCGCTATAAAAGATATTTCACAATCGATAACCTCTATGATAAGTAATGACTACTATATTAACACATTTATAAGTCAATTCTTCATTGATCTTCATTTCATTTTTTATTAAACTGATCCTATTTGTCATTTTTATTATGATTATTATAATATAAACACTATAGGAAAATTATTATTATGATATATTGTTTATATTGTATCAATTATGTTTTTATAATTTTATCGATAAGTATTATACTGTATTATTATTTATATTTTATTGTTATATAAATTATTTTTATTTAATAAATTTAAAATTAATTTATTAAAAGTGTAATATTCATTTTAGTTATATTTAAAATTGTTCATTGTATTTTAATTAAAGCATTTAATTTACTTTTTTTTGGTTATATTTCATAAAACATAACTCTGAATTGAATAAAAAATTAAACCAGATTAATGCCACATTATAAAATTAATAAACATTATGCTACAAATCTATCTATGACAATTTTTCTCAATTTGTTAACTATAAAATATCTTAATAAAAAAGATCTTATATAATATTTATATACATTATAATGAGTGAGTGAGTGAGCGAGTAAGTGATTGAGTGAGAGAGAGAGAGAGAGAGAGAGAGAGAGAGCTGCTATTAAGCTAAAGACAAGAGAAAATAGAGCAATGAATGTACAAAAATTAAAATAAAATAATTGAAAATAATATTTCTCTTACTGAATCCCAATTGCTTTGCGATATATTGTCCATAAATAGTATGTAAATTATTTGTTGTATATTTCAAGTCATTATTAGTAACAAAAAATAAAAATAAACCAAAACTAACGAATAGTATTAAAGTTAAAAATGAATTTCGATTTTTCATAACTTTAATTATTATTAATTAATTATCAATCAAGAATTGAATGGATCCACAATTAATTTTTCATTTGAAATTGTATATACAAATAATAATATGTGATACTTTTAAGCACCGGACACGTAAGACACTGTAAATACAAAATACAATATATTATAATATGGATTAAATGAATGTTTTTCTGCGACTCTTTCACTGATAATTACTAAGATATTGATATCTCAACAATTGATACTATACTCAAACAATGATTCAAAAACTTTTGGAGTAAACATCAGTGTATTATTCAGATTGATATTAGTATCTACTGTATATTCTATTTGAATATCCAGAAATTTTATAATAATTAGTAGACTTATCTTATTAATGCTTATAATCTAATGTAAATTTTGAATAGATTTAATAGATTTTGAATAGATTTACTAGATTTTAAATCCACATAAATTAATAATATTTCATTAGTTACATAACTTGATCTTGATCACTGGAAAACTGAATGATGATAGTTTTTAAGATATTAAAAAAAAAATTGGACAAATAAAAGTCAATATGCAAAGGTTATTATATAATATGGTAGCAAACTGATTTAATGAACACTTTAAAGAGTTAAGAAAATATTTTGTAGCATTTTAAAATATGTTGCTGTTAACATCAATATACTTTTGAAAACACAATACAATACTTTTAAAACATAAATACACAAAACATCTAAATAATAATTAAGAACTATAAGTACAATACAGTATGAACAATTACGGTATTTGTATTAAATCTATATTTAAAACAACAAATTGTATTTGTGATTTTTTGCACAATAAGATTATAAAAACAAATGTATGACACTGTTAGTCAGCATTTGATTTACCCAAAGAGTATTCACTACCCATTAATCTCACACACACACACACACACACTTACTTACTTACTTACTTACTTACTTACTTACTTACTTACTTACTTACTTACTTACTTGTAATTGTACGCTTCAATTAAAACTAAAACTAATTAATATATTTAAATTGAGAAAGATTTATACTGTAATTAATAACGAATAATAGAAGTTGTGCTACAATTCAATGTCTTGTAAGTGGAATAGTGTGACAATAAATCTGAAACAATCAATTAAAATGAGTGTAAATAAGGTAAATAATGGAATCTACAAAATTTGTTTGCTATGAGACACGAGACTTATAAACATTTAGAGACATGAGGAATATCACTGAATATTCTGCTAAACAATCAATTTTATCTATTTTTAAAGTTTACTAAAAAGTATATTTTTCATTAACATAAATCTATCATTGAGTTAAAAATAATGATTAAATCTACAATTCTCTATACATTATTCTAAAGTCTATAAATCTATATGATATCAAACAAAACCTTTTTTGCCATTAATATTTAAAATTGGTCACAATCGATAAATTTATAAAATATGAATAAGTTTAAAATATTACTTCCAAGATTAGTTTTAATTTTAATTTTTATTGAATATTATTACTTTAATGTACTCGATATGAATAATATTTTGTATAATTGAGGGCAGAATTTAATGCATCAAAGGTTAGATTACAAGCAAATATGTTGTCCATATTTCTGGAAATTCCTTTTATGTACTGTAGATATCGATTTCAAATTGGAAAATATATTTGTAACATTTTAGTAAAACTTTGAAAAATGTGCCACAAATACACACAAACACAGGTTGGGGGGTAAGTGCTGCTGGACTGGCAATTCAGTGAGAATGAGAGAATGAATCAATTGCAGCAATGCTTGTGTCCTGAATGTGTCTCATTTGGACCTCAGAATGACCTCAACTATCAAATGAAACAACACTTGTTGTACACTCGAGTCAATGTATCAATACATCGAAACACATACCGAGGCTCTGAAGCAAATATTACAACGAATATCACTCTTTGCTGGTATTTATGGAGCAGTCCGTCAGTCCGTCAAACCTTTATTCAATTGATTGCTAAGAATTATAATTGTTTTTGGGATTGACTGCCAATTCATCTAAATTAATTCAATAAATAACACTGTATGCTATACTGTACTGTATGTTGATATGCCATATTTGAGTCAAACTTACTTAACCAATGACTTAAAAAAGTTTCATTAAATGGTTTATTACAATTACGTATATGCTATTGTAATGAAACTAACAGTAAACCAATGATTTGATGTGGACAAACATAAGTTACTAGTATGTGGAGTTGGTAACTTGTTTGTTGTCCACTACCGTAATATTGCTTATGAATCATAAGTTATGCTTTAGCCTTAAATTGATTAAATCATGGATTCATTATTTTAAAATAGAATAAAATTTAATAATTAAATTGATTTAAGTTAAAAAACAATAAATAAATGGAAAAGCATTGAATAAATGAATGTAAATAATGTGAATAATTTAAAATATACTGTAATAATAATAGTAGATTTATTTGATAACTAGTGTTAATAATTAATATATACATGTATTGCTTATTGCTTAATAACTGTTCTCATGACCGGCCAGTATGTATAGATTGGTGGGTGCGTTGGGCTGGTCGGTGGGCCGGGACTCGAGGACGACGATGCGGTCGAAGCCAAGCAGTCGGAAGTGTCGGGAGGGGTCGTTGATCTCCTGGACCACCTCATTGTTCTTGAAGGAGCGGCCCTGCATTCCGTGCGAGTGAAAGGCCAGCACAGAGTCGGTCAGACACACAATGGACTCGACTTTGAAGTCGAAGTGCAGTTGCGACTGACGGCGACTCGCCTTCACTTTGCCCTGAAGTGAGACTAACTTGACTTCGCGGTCAAAGCACACGAGAATCGTGTCCTTCTCGAGTTGGGTCACACTTATCACGTCCAGCGAGTCGTGTCGGGGTATCACAGTCTCAGTGCCGTCGCCAAACTGGTCGTCCACACCGTCATTAAACCAATTGGTCGATGAGTTCAAGTTAATGAGATTGAGTTGCAAGTCCTGCGATGTGTCGTACCCTCTCTTGACGCCTGTGCAGAGCATCGGGTACTCCAAGTCGGGGGTTATCATCATTTCGAAGACGTGTAGTTTTGCGGGTAAATACAACTCAAATTGTTTCAAAAACATGAACTTATTTAACGGGTTATACCACTGCATAAGAAATATGCCGTTAGGAGTGGCGCCGCATAAATATTTGTAACCGTTGTATGGGTTGCGACCGACACAGCATTTGGTGCACCCCTTCGTGTCCGACACTTTGCTGGTGGCGATGAACTTGCGGGGCATCAGTCGCTCCGGGATTTTGTTGATCATGGAGTCGACGGGAAGACCAAACGACATGTTCTTCTTGGAGTGGAGTGCCATCAAGTCGTGTCTATACAGGTATGCCGTTTTGCCCGACACGGACATCACCACGTTTTTGATGACAAACAGCCAAATGGTTTTGCGGGGATATAACTGGTCGAGAGTGGCGTCGTGTAGTTCATTGAGGTTGAGGTCATATATGCCTTCGTCACACCCGAGCAGTATGTGCTGGTCGTGAGTGTCGGGGTGTATCCAACTGGCGCTACAGTTGACGGTGAGGGGGCACTCGTTGAACACCTTTGAGAAACAGGCGCCCATATGTACTTTGGGAGTGGGAGGCAACCCATTCACGGCAGTCGGCGCCGACGTCTGGCCGGTGTTCACTCGTTTGTGACGATCCCTACGACGCGGAGGAGCCTCTGGGGGCTGACCGACGCCGCCGCTACCATCAGCATCGTTGGCATCACTGCTTTGGTTTAAGCCATTGTTGGGCGCATTTGTCTGTCCATTGGTCGAGTGCTCTCCCACTTCACTGACAATAATGCCGTTAACTCTGGGCGTTGAGGGAGGGGTGGAGTACTCGTCGTCGTCGATGTGTAACAACTCGATTGCATTCAATTCGTTGCATACCTGACCCAACAGGTCGTGCCTTAGAGGCTCTATTGGAAGCGTTTCTTGTGATGAATAAAGACGTAATGTCTTGTCGATGGCCTGCAGACTGTCCTGATGCCCGAGATGTAGGAGCTCTTCGTCAACCATTTCCAGGAGAGATCGTCGCCGGAGTTCTGCCTCACGATAGGCGTCCGAATGAGTCCACGCATCGCCTGAATCACCGGCGCTGGTGTTGTGAGCGGAGGGCAGAGCCCACGCAAGTGAGACATCGGTTGGCCTCTCGTGTTCGGCGGACAGTGGGGTGAGGAGAGGGGTCTCGAAGGCGATGCTTTCCATATTCAGTTCGGAGCGTGTCTTGACTCGCGATCGCACCGACCGTTTCGATGATATGCGTTGCGGGACATCGCAGACGAGCTCGTCGTCGGCGTCCAACTCGTGTCCGTCGAAGTGTTGCGGATTCGCCACCTTCTCCAACAGATCCCTCATGAGTCGGCGCGAGAGGTCCGACTGGTGTACGAATGGGTGGAGGAGTAGGCGCTCCGCCGAGGGTCTCTTCTTGGGGTTCTTCGTGAGCGACACTTTGACGAAGTGATGGAAATTGGGAGACCATCTGCTCCTGTCCTTCAGTTGCGGCGCTTTGAACCCCGACTTAGACATGAGGAACAGGGCTCGCATGGGGTGTAAGTCAAACATCGGTGGCTGAAGTTCGGCCAACTCGATGGCAGTGATGCCGACGGCCCATATGTCGCACTGATGGTTGTACCCGCCCTTGCGCTCCACGGCCGCCACTTCCGGCGCCATCCAATATGGCGTTCCGATGAAAGACTTGCGTTTGTTTATGGTTTGCGTGATCTGTGCGGAGACCCCGAAGTCTGCGAGTTTGACGTCTCCCTCGTCGGTGAGCAGAATGTTGGCGCCTTTGATGTCGCGATGCATTTTGCCCATAGAGTGCAGGTATAGCACCCCTTTCAGGGTCTCCCGACACACGAACGCGATCTGCACTTCACTCAGAGGTCCGGTGCAGTGGTAGATGTCTTGCAGGGATCCGCCGCCACAGAACTCCATACAAATCCAGAGCTTATCCCTCCGGAGGTATGAGCCGAAGAATGCCACCACATTTGGGTGCCGACAGCCCTTCATCATCAGTATCTCCTGCTGAATGATCGTGAAGTCGTCGCCCGGCTCTAACTTTATGATCTTTATGGCCGCCATCTCTCCAGACATCACCCGTTTGGCCTACAGGAGCACCAATCACATCAATCACACCATTACATCGCATTATCATCACTCATGAGTGACCACAACATACCTTATAGACGTCGCCATAAGTGCCGGAACCCACTCTTTGGATCAAATCATACTCTTCTTGTGGGTTACGGCGAGAGATGTCCAGCGGTTGAGCCATTCATATGAGATGTCTTATTATTACAGTTATTATAATTATAGTATTGTTTATGAATTGACACAACGATTGAGTGTCTCTTGATTGCTATGATTGGTGCGAAACACTCATTGCATTGCACTTACAGTTGGTGTTCATTATTAACAGTCATGTAATGAATAGTGAATGGAGTGACAAACCAGTGCTGTATTGGTGTCCAAATGGATGGCAATCATCATTGCATTGATTGCGGAGACAATTGTATGAATAGTGATAATTGTGGCGAAAGTGTAGTGCAAGTGATATAATGAGCGGACATTACATTGACGACATTCATAACATTCATTAGATTACAATACAGTGTACTGTAAATGAGATGACAATACATTGACAACACAAACAATTGCTTCAATACATAGTCTACAGTATCTTTAATGAATCGCTATAAACTGAAATATACTGTGGCTGATAACGAAGCACTATTTCTTATATGGATTAATATGATAAGCATCGAAATTCAAAATACGGGTGAATCTCGATAGGCAAAAAAGTCAAAATTAAAACAATTTTTTATGTGCTAAGACGGTGGCCGAATTGTTTAATGGGGTGTATATCGAGGTGGGGGTCGCGAGTTCGATCCTCATTGGCGGTATAATTGTGCACAACTTTCAATATTTGTCCAAATGGCCTGGCCAAACTTTTTTTTAATTTAAAATGTTTATATAAATGAGATTCACCTGTATTTTGAGTTCCGATGCTTATCATATTAATCCATATAAGAAATAGTGCTTCGTTATCAGCCACAGTATATTTCAGTTTATAGCGATTCATTAAAGATACTGTATTACAGTATATTAATTACAGTAAGTCAATGAGTCTTTCAGTGTATGGCTGTATGACTGTATCATATGATTACAAGACTATGTTTGCGACATCTATTGCACAGTCATGTGATCACTTATTGTGCTACCAATTTAAATGAAACAATCATTGAATACTTGTCATCTAGTTCACTCATCATTTCATTACAGACTTACAAGACTATCATTCATTCATTTTCTACAGTATACAGGCACATTTTTCATTGTTTAGCAAATAATACTTAACCAGTAATGCATTTTGTAATTTGTTGCTTGGAGGTGTTTCATACAGATTCTGTATTACCTTGTTAATTATAAATTTAGTATTTTATTCATTTTTACATTTTAAATTATACATAGGTTAGAGTGTAACTGTTACACTGCAGTAATATCTTATTGAATTCAAATTGAGTACGGTGATAATATTTGCATTAATTGTGATTGATAATATAGTACATGAATGTGAGTTGTGGTCTATGGACTGCATGTTATTTAGTGTCCAATTTATCAGCAAATTTTGTGATTAGCAATAGATATCTCACGTAAACCATTATTATCTGTAAATTAAGAAGTAAAACTTTTTAGAAATGAAACCAATTATTGTAGCACCTCAATATTTGTAAGTTGCAATATTTTTAATACAAGTAAGTTCACTAAAGAATTTGGATACTTTAATTCTTGAGAACAACTGACATTACTCAATTGATTTTCATCAACAAGTAACAAATGTTTACCAAATGTTTATATTACGGTATTTGAAACTCATAATCCACAACTTACCGATAATACTAGGGGTTAAATAATTTTAAAGTAATGTAACATTGTTATCCAGTTAATGTTTCGTTTCTGTTTTTGAATACATACTGTAGCATATTCCTAGTGCCTCCCATTATGTTTTATAAATTGAATTACTTATTTTCATTAAATTAAAACTAGATTGCAACATTTTAAGTCACTTCCATTCAGTGGCTCTTGCATGACCATGACTTATCAAGTTATATAATTGACTATTTAAAAGTTGCAGATTGGAAATTGTAATGAATTTTAGCTCAATTTTAACCTTGTTTATTTTTAAATAAGTAATTAAGATGCACTTTTAGAGTATATACTATTCACGGCAAAATAAATGAATAATACGTAACAATGTTTGTTAACTTACTTTAAATAAGACAGTGTTTGTCATTAGGAATAGTGAGCTGACAGTGAATCCGACTCTAGAGTTGGCCACCCCTTCATAACACGTTAGAAGTGCTAACTTAATGTTGGCATTGAATGGGCCATTGTTTTGAGAGATGATTGTCTGAATAGTGTAGAGTTTATTAGCCGTTAAGTGCATGCCTTTAGGTATCTGTGAGGCACAGAAGGATACGAAGAATACAAAGACCCACGAAATGAAGACAATGAAACAATTCAATGCATATGAGTATAATTGCATGTCTTTGAAGAGCACTTGATTTAAGAGAAACAGATTTAATGGTATGAGTGTTATGAGAAGGAAAAGCAAATATTTGGACCAAAACTTATTGAATTGATTGATTTGGCGACAAATGATAATATAGTGGTCAACCAGTTGTCGGCTCACTCGCAACGTATTGGTGGTGTCCTTACCATTGCGGTGATCGGTAATCATTTGTTTCATTTTGTTATTCAATGTTTCGATTCTTAATCGTATGAAATGAAACAATAGGTATAAGAAACCACTGGCAGTATTGGTGTCGTATCCCATGTAATAACAACTGATCAGAATTAATAAACCAAAGCCAATAGAATACAAGTACTGTTCAAATGTATAGAACTCTACTGAAATGCCAATGTAGGTTAAAACCATCAGAAAAACTATATATAAATAAAAATGTAATATTTTAGTAAATTATGATGCAACATGCAATAATTGAGATATCAACTAGATTGAAGTTTTATAATTGTAAAATAAACTGTAACTATTGAAAATTACACAAGAATTTTTAAACTATTAATACAATACAGACAAAATAAAATAAAATATGATACATACACAAATTGTAAAATGAATACTCAAGTGTGTGTAACACAAATTGACATCTATTTAGAAATCTCTTAATCATCGGAATGTCTTCACTAGTGAGACCTAATTGTATGGGTGGTAAGTGTCCCCGGCACATGTCAAATAGTTGGCGCCATATGAATAGCTTGGTGTCAGACATCAGATACAATAGTTGTCGTAAGAATGCGGCCCAAAAAATGCGGAACAGTAGGCGAACAGGTAATAAGTCTGGACACCCGGGATAAACATACTCCAGTCTACGGTTATCATACGAACTTGGCGAGACATTGGAGTCAGCATATACAACATATTCTTGATCATATTAAATATATGAACGCAAACTATTAAAATGTTGATCATTTTATATTTGAACAAATATTTAGTTTTTAATGAATTTGGTGGTAATGAATGTCCACTCAATCGTTGTGATAATACATGGAAATAGTTATGAAGCCATTTGTGTTCAATTCTCAGGCCTGGACCCAAACACTGACTTACTTTTAATGTATTTGCTTTTATTGATAGCAATTTGGAACCAATTTTTAATTTTAATTTCCACATATTGTACTACTCATTGGTATTAAAATTAGAAATAAGCAATTTATAATTTTAAAAATATACAATCATTTGGTGCATATTCCCATTCAATTATTTGTGATAAATATAGTGTTCGCCAAACATAAACAAGATCATTAAACTTGAAAATTATTACTGTTTGACATGATAACATTGATAATAATCAATAATAATATTAATAATGATTTTAATTATAGAATAATGTAATTGCAATCAAGATCTAACAATTCCTATTATTATCTTATGTTTTATTTGATAGAACTAGAATTATTCTTTGAAACAATAACTTTTTATATTAAATTATATCCTCGTTTTTGCTTAAAAAATAATTGACATCACTGATTTTGTTTTTAATAAATCACAATAAAATTATCATGAAATTAATATTTATTAATTGAAATAATTGAATTAAAAATATAATTTACTAATGTAAAATGTTTTGTGAATACTAATGATATATTTGAATGAATCATTTGACAATAATCAATATTTTGTTTATAAGAAAAATAAAATCAATACAATAAAAAGATAGATATTTAATACAGTACAGTCAGATGTACTAGAAATTCTAGTCTAGAATGCATTTTATTTAAATTTATATTTCATAACTTATGTTTGAATTATTTGAATAATCTTGTTTTCTAATTTATCAATACCATTTATTTGTCTATTAATACTAATTAATATTGTATAATATATGGGGACAACTCTACTTTCATGACTTTATTATACTAATGGACACTCAATGTAGAGTTAATAGTCAAATGAAGGCAGAGTTTGAACACATGTTTTGATTACTGTACTTGTTTTGTTCAAATATTCACAAATTGATACTATCATGTGGTGTCCAGTCTAGGTGGACATGTATTATATTTGATAGTAAAGTATATTCGTTGAAATGCAACAATTCATAATTAAATATGTTGTATTAAGTTTAGTTACTAAAAACGTAAACTATTAGTATGAGTACGAATGGGACTGCTTGTGATGATGAATGGGTTATTGACAATTGGGTCAGGGAGAAATTACAGCTCTATTTTAGGAGTATTGCTTTCAAACAGAATGTTACTTATAGTTGTGACACATTCAACAACACGACCCACACCTCACCCATGGGTGCAGTGAACGCACACAATGGTAATACACTTGTCATTGATTACTTACCATCTGATCCGAAAAGATATGCTCAAGAAGATGATAATAATGCCACAGCAATCCTAGATGTATGACCATTTCATTACTTCATTTTATTAAGTTTTGTAGTTTATAAACATAATTTATCACACATTTTGGTATACTAACGCAATTAAAAATATAACCCAGAGTCTATTCAATAATTTAATTGACATTAAAGATTGTTTTGGTAAATTAACAAATCCAGTAATGCAACAAATTAATTGTTGATTAGATCAAACGAGATGCTAACTTCAAGTGTAGGACAGTATATCACAAACAAATACAAGATCCTTTAATTAACTTAATTTATCAAACAACAATATTTACAAAATACAGAATAGTGTAATTTACATAAAAATAAATTTACATAAACATTATATTAATATTAAAAAATAACTTATAGATTAATAAACAAAGGGATAACAAAATTAACAATCACTTGTCTATTATACCGTATTCCCGCACATCCACCGGCATGCCGAAATAAAGTGAGGTTGATGATACTGCCGTTATACCCTGGGGTATACCGGCATGCCGTTATAAGTGAGGTGTGAAACATGTTTTGAAATTTAAATTACAATAAACTAATATTCACAAATAAGTGTATTAAATTTTATAAATTGAATTATAAGTGAATATTATCTTATTAATATCTAAAAAGGTGGTCATTAGACTAAGAAAGTAAAAGGTTTATTCATTCTAAATGCTTTCTATTCATCGTGTCAAATAGTCTTATACTATAAAGTACACAAT